AGTAATAACAATAACAATAATAATAACTATAATAATAATAATAATAATAGTAATAATAATAATAATAGTAGTAGTAGTAGTAATAATAATAATAATAATAATAATAGTAATAAAGAAAGAGAAGAAGAAGAAGATGATAAGAACTTGGAGATGGAATATTAATGTAAGGATTAAACAATGATAATAACAAATGTCAAGGTTAGAGGTTCCACTAATGGTATGTCAAACAAATATAGTATAAACTCTTATTATTCAATTGGAAACCACACACAAAGGAGGTTCCATTCAGATTATAGATTATTAACATGATTACATTAGTCATCTTATTCAATTAATACTAGTACTTGTAAATCTCGTCAAGCATTCATGATTATAACTTATGTTAACAACAAATCAAGTTCCTTTCATAGCTCAGGTGTCAGTTATACCATACAGTATGGGCTATGAAAGTGCCAAGCATTTGTTGTACCAAGTGTTATACAACATAAATCAAGATTAGTTATTTAACAAGCAAAGTATTAAAGAGTGAACAAGATAACAAATACAAAACATCTTAGTATCAAACATTAAAGTCCATATTAAGTTTACACTATACTTATTCTTACACCATTAGTGTAACCTTTTCACCTTGACATAATAAACTTAGTTAGACATAATGAAAGAAAGAAAAATAAATAAACAAAATAAGAACATGAATAAGATTAAAGTTAACTAAGTAAATGAAAGGAAATGAAAGGCATAAACTTGATATTAATGAAAGCAAAGTATAAACATTACAAAAAATACAAAGAGAGAAAGCAAGAGCATGATCTTGATCTGGAAATTAAGATGCCTGAATGCATGGCAAATGCCTCCTTTTATAGGCCAAAATTGGGAACTATTGATTTGATGACTAATTGATGAGTGGGTGGCCAACTCTTGACTTGGTGACAATCCTTATCTTCTCTTTTTTGCCCAAAACGTCATTGATAATGTAAAAAGTGGAGCCACTTGAAAACATGAAAGTTGTAGGAAATTGTCTCAGCTTTCTTGTGTAAAAACTTCAGCTCATTTGAACTTTTAGAACTCCAGATATGGCCAAAATATGGAACAGTGCTCGGGCTCGAGGACAGATTCAGGCTTCTTTGTTGTTGCTACAATTTGGACTTGAAAATGGCCTTTTCAAATCTTGCGATGATTTGGGCTTGAAAATGGCCTTTTTAGATCTTGGGCTCCATATGAAAGTTGTAGGCCTATGTCTTACCTTTCCATCCATATAAAGTAGACCTAGATCTGAGATCTATAGCTCCAGATATGACCCAATTACCGAACAGGAGACCTAGATCTGACATCTCTTTTCTAATTTTGGTCATCTTTTTGCCCTTGCAATTTAAGTTCTTAAAGTCATCAATCAATCCTTTCATTTATGTGATAGACCTGCATTTAAAATGAATATTTACCATAAATTAAAGGTATCTTGTATTATTAGATATATTATTATAAAACATGCTTTAGTTAAGGAGTTATTAATACTTCAAGTGCAAAATGATGATATAAAACCATGATAAAAATGCACTTTTAAGTACTAATCACTTGTTCTTCTTCTTTTTGTACTATTATTTTCCTCGTACTTCTTTAAAAATTCTTGTATTGAAAGACTTAATCAATAGAAATATGATGAAAAGAAAAAACTTGGTTTTACATGTCATGTTACTAAAAGGTTGGCTTGTTTGTTTTGTGATTGTGGCTCACATCTTCCCTTGGTTTCCATCTCGAAGTTCTCATCATCTTCTTCTTCTTCTCTTTCTTTATTATTACTACCACTACTATTATTATTATTATTATTATTATTATTATTATTATTGTTATTGTTATTATTGTTATTGTTATTGTCATTGTTGTTATTATTGTTATTACTATTATTATTGTTGTTGTTGTACTATTGTCGTTTATAATGTGTACAATTAACCTCCCTGTGGTTCGACCCCGGTCTTGTCGGGTTATTTATTACTTCGACACTCCTGCACTTGGGAGAAGACATCAATCTTTTAGTTGTGTCAAAAAGCAACAATCTTTCCATTTGGACCAATCGAATTAGAAAGGCTTTCCTACTATTTAAGGCTAGCCCAAACAATAGGGTGGCTCCTCGTTTAGGAATATTTTTCTAAATTTTTCTATTATTTTATTTTACTATAAACATAATGTTTTCCTATTTTGCAGCAATTTATGATCATAAACATAGAAACTCCATTATTTATTAGAGAAAAAGAAGATTGATAAATAAAAATCTTCTTCGTGATCCATTTGGGATTGCACATTACAAAAACAACATTCTCAATCTTATATTGCACACAAGGCTTGAAAAGGTAGGTTTTTATGTATTTTTTTCAATTAAACTATGTATATCTTCTTCTTCTTCTTTTTTTATTGAATCAATCTATAAAACAAATATCAATCTAAGTACATTTTTTTTTAATTTTCCTTAAATATTTGTATTATAAAATTTTCTTTATCATTTCATCAAATTAAAATTGAAGAAAATTAACCAACTATAATATATTATATTTTTTTCATTTATATCAATAAAAAATTAACCAAAGTAAATTGAAATTTATTAGAAATTTATGAGATAAATAATATTTTTTTTCTAAATTTTCGTTTAAAATAAAAAATAAAAAATTTATTAAATGAATAACTTATTACAAGTTTGATAATAATACACATCAAAGGTAAAACATAATTTTTAATATTTTATTATATCTTGTTCTTCATCAACCAAATAGAATACAGAGACATTCAT